TTTGATCTAGATCATCTCACTTTTATCATTGAAAAAGCGAAAAAATTGTTAGACCTCTTTCGTAACTGTAAAGATTTTTACCAATATTCAAACAAAGGGCGGGTTGGCGGGGCTACCACCTGCTAAGGATAAGACCGATTTTGGAAAATGACATTAAATAGAGAGTGGGTGGGCGGTACTGGTACTTATTACGATAAGACTAAAAAATATTAAGAGTAGTCACTAAGTTGGAGAGGGGGTGAGTGGGCGGGGCTACTGCTTGTAGAAAAAAGCTAAACTCAGCCCCACGGCCCTCTATTTAATTGGAGGGTATGCCATTTTCCAAAATCAGGTCTTATAATAGCAGGTAGTAGTCCCGCCTACCCACACCCTCTCCAACCTAATAACTAGTCTTATTATTTTTTAGTCCTATCCTAATAAGTACTAGCCCCGCCCACCCACCCTCTGTTGATTAGAAGGTATGTCATTTTTGCAAAATCAGTCGTGTCGTAGCAGGTAGTAGCCCCACCCACCCACCCCCTCTCGAACCTAGGATTACTCTTATTATTTTTCAGTCTTATCTTAACAAGTACTAATTTTCCACTAATATTCTTGTTAAAATCATTCGAAGTATTTTGACTTCATTTATGGTACATTTTGATGTTAATAAAGACATTGTTATTTAAATAAATTGTACTACTAACAAATATTTAATATTGCAGGGGCCTTTAACCTACGTTACTTTGTGAATGTAAGAATTTTCAAAAGATTCTGTGATGTTTAACACACAAAAAACAGGAAAAAAACGAAACAATGGTGCTTTTTTTCACAAAATTTCTGTTATATTTTTTTGGTTGATTGAACTGTTTTCAGGGGATTGGGACATAAAAAAAACACAATTTGATCTAAATCGTATCATTCAATCATAGAAAAATGGAAAAAATTGTTATACCTCTTTTGTAACCGTAAGGATTTCACCAATATCCAAATAAAAGGTGGGTGGGCGGGGTTACCACCTGCTAACGATGAGACTGATTTTGGAAAATGACATATCCTGTAATTAAATAGAGGGTGGGTGGGCGGGCCTAGTACTTGTTAGGATAAGACTGAAAAATAATAAGAGTAGTCACCAAGTTAGAGAGGGGGTGGGTGGGCGGGGCTATCACCTACCAAGAAAAAACGGACTTTAGACAGAGTCTTATAAGCAAGCACTAGCACCGCCCGCCCACCCCTCTCCAATCTAGTGACTAGTCTTATTATTTTTTAGTCTTATCTTAACAAATACTAGCACCGCCCACCCACCCTCTAATTAAATGTTACTGATTTTACACTAATATTCCTGTTAAAATCATTCCACGTATTTTGACTTAATTTGTGGTACATTTTGATGTTAATAAAGACATTATTATTGAAATAAATTGCACTACTAACAAATATTTAATATCACAGGGGCCTTCAAAATATGTGTTACTTCGTCAACGTGAGAATTTTCAAAAGATTCTCTGATGTTTAAGACAAAAAACAGGAAAAAAGCGGAACAATAGTGCTTTTTTACAATAATTTTTTTTGTTACATTTTTTTGGTTGATTGATCTGTTTTCAGGGGGTTGGAACATAAAAAAAGTGCAATTTGATCTAGATTATATTAGTTTATCATTGAAAAAGGGAAAAAATTGTTAGACCTCTTTCGTAACTGTAAAGATTTTTACCAATGTTCAAACAAAGGGTGGGTGGGCGGGGATACCACCTGCTAAGGATAAGACCGATTTTGGAAAATGACATTAAATAGAGGGTGGGTGGGCGGTACTGGTACTTATTACGATAAGACTAAAAAATATTAAGAGTAGTCACTAAGTTGGAGAGGGGGTGGGTGGGCGGGGCTATGCTTGTAGAAAAAAGCTAAACTCAGCCCCACGGCCCTCTATTTAATTGGAGGGTATGCCATTTTCCAAAATCAGTCTTATAATACAAGGTAGTAGCCCCGCCCACCCACCCCCTCTCCAACCTAATAACTAGTCTTATTATTTTTTAGTCCTATCCTAACAAATACTAGCCCCGCCCACCCCCCCTCTGTTAATTAGAGGGCATGTCATTTTTGCAAAATCAGTCGTGTCGTAGCAGGTAGTAGCCCCGCCCACCCACCCCCTCTCCAACCTAGGATTACTCTCATTATTTTTCAGTCTTATCTTAACAAGTACTAATTTTCCACTAATATTCTTGTTAAAATCATTCGACGTATTTTGACTTTATTTATGTTACATTTTGATGTTAATTAAGACATTGTTATTTAAATAAATTGTACTACTAACAAATATTTAATATCACAGGGGCCTTTAACCTACGTTACTTTGTCAGTGTGAGATTTTTCGAAAGATGCTGCCATGTTTAACATACAAAAAGCAGGAAAAATGGTGCTTTTTTTACAAAATTTCTGTTACATTTTTTTGATTGATTTAACTTTTTTCAGGGGCTTGGAATATAAAAAAAGTGCTATTTGATCTAGATCATATTATTCTATCATAGAAAAAAGGAAAACATTATTATACTTCTTTCATAACTGTAAAGATTCCACCAATATTCAATAGAGGGCGAGTGGGCGGGGCAACTACCTACTATGGATAAGACTGATTTTGGAAAATGCCATATGCTCTAATTAAATAGAGGGTGGGTGGGCGTGCCTAGTACTTGTTACGATAAGACTGAAAAATAATAAGAGTAGTTCCTTGGTTGGGGAGAGGGTGGGTGGGCGGGGTTACCATCTAGTAAGATAAGACTGATTTTAAACGGAGTGTTATGAGCAAGCAGTAGCCCCGCCCACCCATCCCCTTTCAAACCTAATAACTATTCTTATTATTTTTCAGTCTTATCATAACAAGTACTAGCCCCGCCCACCCACCCTCTATTTAAATGTCACTAATTTGCCGCTTATATTTCTGTTAAAACCATTCGACGTATTTTGATTTATTTTATGGTACATTTCGATTTTAATAAAGAGATTATTATTTAAATAAATTATACTACTAACAAATATTTAAATAATGTGATGTTTAACACACAAAAATTGTTTTCAAAAAAGTTGCGGTTTGATGTATATCTATGTTAATATTATTTTATCATAGAAAAAAGGAATTAATTGTTATAGCTCCTGTAATGAGTCCTCTTAAAAAGGACTGGTTTAAATGTTGTATACAATTGAATTTTTTTATCCAAAAGTTACGTATTTTTAAGTCTGGTTCTTGTGATTCTCACTTTTGTGTTACATTGATGACATTCATCAATTCGTTTTGTAACGCTGGATAGTTGGAATGGATGTGAAGAATCCATAAGGAAGATTTTAAATTAAAGTATTCTGCTACTTAGGGTATGTTTCTGTAAAAAAGTGTCTTTAATTTGTAATCGTGTTGTGTTGTATTCATCATAATGAGTTGGGTGAAAATTATTTTTGGTCAATATTGAACGCAGCATGTATTGATAATGTGGTGTTCTCTTCTGATGTATTGTTTTCTGATGTTATTAATTTTATCATTGAATCTTATTTCCCAATGTGGACCAGAGTAGGTATGATTTATGTTAGTATTTATTATATTTTTGCTTGTATTGATCTGAACAGTATATAAGTGTGTAAAGTTTTTCAAGAGATTAAAAATTTCTAGAACTTCTAAAAAATATGGTAATGATAATTTACAGCTTCTTCAACGGCTTGCCTGAAAGGAACAAAGGCTCTATGAATCATGCAAAACCTTTGATTCTTTCGGATGAGCAACCCAAAAGCAGGCAAAGTGTTGTAAATCACCACCATTATAGTCCTGTGGAGGTGAGTCACCATTTAGCGGACTCTGCTTTAACCTTAATTAACGCTTTTTTGTGATATTTATCTCGCGTCAAAATTTTTTGTCCCTTGGTTTTTCATTTTTCCACTCATAAACTTTTTGTTATTAATGTTGCGCTTAATAAAAGTTGTAGATAATTTAATAACATTTTTTGTCAGACTTACATTTTCGGAGATCAATAAAAAAATAATTGCACCCTCTACATAACCTAAAAATTTGTCGCCTGCCCAAAATGTACGCTGCCATGCCGGATTGCGTGCACTTCGTGTGCGTTAGGAGTAAAGTGAGTGAATTAGCACAAAATGTTAAAGAGGGAATTCGTTTATTAATCGGCTTTGTCATTACGTTTTAAACACATACATTTGATGCAGTCGTACATTGGGTACATAAATAAAATCTATCCTTCGTAAAAAAAAAACACATAATATTGCATGCACTCTATCGCTATGTATTTACAAAATAATGCACAAGAAACATCGGCACAAGAACTAGTTATGTACATACAACACCAAAACACAATCAATCGTGCAAAACAACGATAAATATACATACAGTCGTCGAGTCGCGGCCCCTCGACGCCCCCTAGGCCTCGAGCAGCCGCTCAGTCTTAACAAGTACATCACAACCTCTCTCTCGACACTAAAATTACGGAAGACATGACAGTGCACAAGACGTTTACATACACTTTTCCCACGTCAATAAATCAGCCATATTCCTGGTCAAACCCTACCACCCGGCGTTAATCACGAATATGGCCAATCACCAAAGCAGGGAAGGACGGACAGAAGGAACCCACTACCAGCTAACATGTTCCGGCAAGCGGCCCGACCGCCCGCACGTGCACGCGCCCGCCATCACCAGATTTCTGTGTCCGTGGCGGAAGCTGCGAGGACGCGGGCGCGATGCTCCCCGCTGTCGGGCGGGATAACGACCCGGCTCGGCGCCGCCAGCAGGATCTCCTGCGCGTGAGCCCGGCTGTAAACGTGCCGGCCGCACAGCTTCGGCGACACCGTCGCCGGGTAATTGATGCGCTCCCGCCACAGCTCGGCCGCGATCTCCCTCTCGATCCGGTCCTCGATGGCCAGCATTTTCGCCGGCGACAGGATCGCCGCGTTCGCGATCCGGTAACTGGCGCTGCGCTTGACGACCCGGGGTGTGTCTTTGGTATGTGGGGGACGGGGCTGGGGCTTACCTTTGTCCTGACCGGGCGGCGGCGCTCCAGGGTCCTGCACGTGCACGTAGGCGCCGCGCCCGCCGACGCCCTTCGGGGACGTGGGGGCCACGACGGCCGACGGCACGCGCACGATCTCCATCCCGGCGGCGCGGATCACGAGCTTCCCGGGCTTGGGGGCGCGGTGGGCCGGCAAGGGGCTCTGGCTCGGGCTGGACCCGAGCTTGACGAAAGGGCCGGGCTCGAACGTAGTATGAGCCCCCTTTCTCCGACGAAGACTGTCGGAGCTGTAGACGACTTTACCCTCAGCGTCGAGGGTCACTCTTGCCCCTTGGCGCCTCTTCCGCTCGAGCGAATCGCCAGGGTCTTCAGTTTTCGGGTCTTCGATTCGGGGTAGTTCGTCCAGAGAAACGTACTCGGTTTGAGCTTTAGGACCGTCACTCAGAGGTTTGGGGTCAGTTCTGACCACGTCGTTGGCGTAAATCTCCTCTTTAGCAAAAGGTCCTCGTTTTTCGTTGTTGTTCCGGACGTCTGCCAAGGTCACATAGTCTCCGACATCGTGGAGATCGTCCCCAGTTGGAGTGTGACGATTCGGGGATTTGCTGTCCCTCCGCGTCAGATTAGCCAAGTTGGTCCGAATTTTCCCGAACATGTTATTCAAAGGCATCAAAGTTGCTTTGATTATGGGTTGCGTGGGTGACTTTCCCAGAGGGTTTTCGTTGATTATTACTGTGCCGCCACTCGGGGAGGGTGCCCGCAACATCTTCACGTTCTTGTTCGCGTCTACCACCTCCACGGTGGCGTATCCCGACTGAGGGTTCACAGTGATGACCTGGACCTTGCTCCCGTACGACTCCATCGCTTCGTTTTCGCTCGTCTTGAGGTTCAAATCCAGCTTGCTCCTCTCCGCATTCTTGCTACCTTTCTCTGCCAAGTTGCGTCGGTTGAAGTTGTTCAGGTTGCAACTCTTCACACTCTCGTCGTCGCTGTGCGGAGGCGTGATCACACACATCGACGGGATTCGGCTGGAGTTGATGGTCGTTTTAATGCGGATCCTTTCCGTTCTTTCAGGACCTTCCATGTCGGAAGATTCGGAAAACTCGAATTCTGACCCGCTTCTGACCCCGTTGGGGCTGGAGGTGGACTCGATCGGCGAGCTAGAGGTATTATGACCACTATCTGGGGATACGTCACCGTCTACTTGCTTATGGACGATGGCGACCACCTTAGTAGCCGGACTTCGCTTCACAGTTCCAGTTTTATCACTATCGTCGAGCGAGCTTTCAGGCGATTTGTCCTTATGACCCAACTTAGACAAGGAGCTTTTGCGTTCCGGAACCACCGGACACCCATTCAAGGACCGATTACTCTCGGACGCTCTCAAAGTCGTGCAGACCGTCCCCGCCGAACTCGTCGTAGTACTAGTAGACCCTTTCCCAAACAACTCGTACTCGTTCTCAGCCGTTAGTACCGTGTTATTCGAACTAGAGGAGAACGCCGACGTGGAATGTAACGGGGTACAAGGCAGATCCTCCTCCTTGAGCGTCTTCAACCCACTATCCACGTGAAACGACGTGTAGTACCCTTCCGTATCGCACGAATACACCGAACTCGTCTCCCCATCTTCGTGCAGATCGTGGATTATATCCGGAGTGAGCGTCCCCTCGCTCGTAATACTACTCGAAGTCGACGTGTTCACCTGGAACCTCCGCTTGCTCCCACTCGAATTCGGTACCTGCTGGTTCAACGAGTTGCTCGACGTCGCTGTGGACGTCGTCGACTTGGGTTGCGTCGTGCTAGTGAACTCCGACCCGATCGACGCCCGGCCGCTCTCCGAGCTCGCGCTCCAGTTCCCGCTCGAGGAGTGCGGCGGCTCGTCTTTGCTCCCTCCCGAGCGTCTCTGGCGCCGCTGCGCCGAGCTCTCCCGCAGCTTCACCGCGATGTTCATCACCGACGACAGCGGGCTGGACATCGGCAGGTTCACGCTCGACTTGTCCGAGGACGAGATCGAAGGGTTGCGCTCGTGCGAGCGCCGGTCTTTGCGCTTCGTCGTGACCGTCTCGTAGATGTTGAAGTCGTCGATGTCGTCCTTCTTGTCCGAGGTCTTGTTCATCAGGCGGTCGTAGCGGTTCTTGCCCCATTGTTTGAGTGTGTTAAAGTGTGATTTTTTGTCTGGGGAGTCTTTTTTGTTTGACGAACGCAAAAGGTCGCTGCTTTTACTGCGACTTACAGCACCGATAGGCGTGGATTCAGTCTCATTATTAGCTGAAGAGCATGGCTCCTCCCTGTCAAGCAAGGGCAATTAGTGGTTGGTCGACCCTGGTGAGTGTTATGCAAAATTTTGGACGGGGTGTGCGAGTTTTGCGAATTCGGGGAGGGGGTGAGTTTGCCGAATTCGGGAAACTTGTACATCGGGTCCGCTATGTACATTATCGCCAGTCCGAATTTAGAAGCCACATGCATGTTACTCATCAAAAGTGCCATCAATTTAACCAACAAATTTTATAAGTTTGCATACGCAACACTCAGTTAGTGGACCGCAAGGAGGGGTGCGTTAATTTGGCAACAGCGAGTTAATGAATTTGAAAAAATAACCACCCAAACGTCGCATATTTAACTAAATTAAATGTGTTCCTCTTTTCCATTTATTTCAACATACTAAAAACAACAAATTCCGTTTCTTTGAAAAATTATACAATTTTTTTGCGATTTTTGTGTTATTTTTTCTTCAAATTTTCGATTTGTATTTTTTCGTTTTTATGTTTTTATTTTTCGTTTTTTTTTGTTTCTTCAATTTTATGAAATCCATTTCTTAGAGTTTCCATTTAAAATTTTTTCAATTTTTTTTCGGATTTTCAATGTTCTGATTTTATGATTTTTCGATTTTTTAATGTTTCTATTTTACAATTTTTTGTTTTTTCAATTTTAATTTTTGCAATGTTTTCTTTCTTCTGTTTTTCAATTTGCGGTTTATTATAATTTGTTTTCTTCAATTTTTCAATTCATAGATTGTGCAATTTTTCGATATTAGATTCTCGAGTTTTCAACTTTTAATTTTTCAGTTATTTGATTTTTCATTGTCTCGATTTTATTTTATTTTTTTTTTCAGTTTTAATTTGTTCAATTAATTTTTCGTTTCTTCAGTTTATCGATTTCAGATTTTTTTAATTTTACTTGATTGTTCAATTTTTAGATCTTGCAATATTTCGATTTACAATTTCTCGAGTTTTCAATTTTTAGATTCTTTAATTTTTTATTTTCTTTAATTTTGCAGTTTTACGATTTTTTTGTTTTTTTAATTGGTTTATTTTTAAATTTTCGTTTTTTTTATTCTTCAAATTTATGAAATACATTCTTTATAGTTTTCATTTAAAATTTTTTCAATTTTTCCATTTGCAAGTTTTCGTTTAGATTTTTAATAGTCTTTTATTCTTCAATTTTTTGGTTTTTCAATGTTCTGATTTTACAACTGCGATTTATCATTTTTTTCTTCAATTTTTAGATTTTGCAACTTTTCGATTTAAAATATCTGGAGTTTTCAATTTTTAATAGTTCAAATTTTCGATTTGCAACTTTTCATTCTGGTTTTTTATTTTCTTTTTTTTAACTTTTCGAGTTTTCAATGTTTCGATTTTATAAATTTTGTTTTTTCAGTTCAAATCCGTTCAATTTCTCCTTCCTTCAATTTTTCATTTTAAAATTTTTCAGTTTCCCAATTTTCCAATTTTTCGGTGTTCAGTTCAAAGATTTTGTAATTTTTCGATATTAGTTTCTCGAGTTTTCAGTTTATAGTTTTTCAATTATTCGATTTTTCATTGTTTCAATTTTATAATTTTTTGTTTTATCAGTTTATCGATTTGAGATTTTTAAATTTTTCTTGAGTCTTCAATTTTTAGAACTTGTAATTTTTTCGATTTAAAATTTCTCGAGTTTTCAATTTTTATTTTTTCGTTTTTTTTGTTTCTTCAATTTTATGAAATCCACTTCTTAGTTTTCATTTAAAATTGTGTCAATTTTTTGATTTGCAATTTCAGGAGTTTTCAAATTTTCCATTTGCAAGTTTTCGTTTGGGTTTTTCAATGTTCTGATTTTATAATTTTTCCATTTTTTAATGTTTCGATTTTATAATTTTTTGTTTTTTCAGTTTTAATTTTTACAATGTTTCCTTCTGTTTTTCGATTTGCGATTTTTTTTCTTAAGTTTTTCAATTCATAGATTTTGCATTTTTTGATATTAGTTTCTCGAGTTTTCAACTTTTAATTTTTCAGTTATTTGATTTTTTTCATTGTCTGGATTTTATATTTTTTCCAGTTTTAATTTGTTCAATTTTTCGTTTCTTCAGTTTATCGATTTGAGATTTTTTAATTTTTCTTGCTTATTCAATTTTTAGATCTTGTAATTTTTCGATTTAAAACTTTTCAAGTTTTCAATTTTGAATTTTTAGATTCTTTAATTTTTTATTTTTTCTTCAAATTTTCGATTTGTGTTTTTTCGTTTTACTTTTTTATTGTCTTTATTTTTACAATTTTTATATTTTTTTTGCTTTTTTAATTGGGTTTTTTTCAATTTGTTCAATTTCTCGTTTCTTCAATTTTTCATTTAAAAATTTTTCAGTTTCCCAATCTTCCAATTTTTGGGTGTTTCAATTGTTAGATTTTGAACTTTTTCGTTTCGGTTTTCTATTTTCTTCATTTTTTCAATTTTTTTTGTCTTGAATTTTTCGATTTGCAATTTTCCATTTTTTTGTTTTTTCAATTTAATGATATGCATCTTTTCGAGTTTTCGTTTTTTCAATTTTCCGATTTTCCAACTTTTGGATATTCCAAAAGCTTTCAGTTTTGTGGATTTTTCAATTTTTCGATTTGCAATTTTTGGGTTTCTCAAAATGTTTTTTTTTAATTTTTCGTTTTTTCAGTTTCATGATGACTCAATTTTTCGTTTCTTCAATTTTTGATTTGTAATTTTTCTAGTTTTCATTTTAAATACTACCCTGTGTAATAATAATAAAATTTTAAATTTTTTTTAACTTTTTCAATATTACGATTTTTGAATTTCTCCAATTTTCAATTGTTGGATTTTAAAACTTTTTGATTTCTGTATTTCATTTTTCAGTTTTTCGATTTTCAATTTTTCGAAATCTCGATTGTCGAGTTTTCTATTTTTCGGTCTTTCGAATTTTTGACTTTGCAATGCCTCGATTTTCGATTTTTCAAATTTCGATTTTTCGGTTTTTCGTTTTTTTTTTCATTTTTGATTTTAGGTTTACAATTTCTCGAAGTCTTGAATTTTTGATTTTTCGAAATTTCTATTTTTTGAGGTTTCGACTTTCAAATTTCAGTGTTTCGATTTTCAAATTTTCTAGCCTTTGATTTTTGAAATTTTCGCATTTCCGTGTTTTCAGTTTTCGATTTTTCAATTTTATGATTGTTCGACTTTCCGAATTCCGATTTTTCAATTTTTCGATTTTCCATTTTCGATTCGCAATTTTTATGGTTTTCATTTTAAATATGTACTTAGTAACAATTATAATTTTAAAAACTTCACTTTTTCAATTTTACGTTTTTGAAATTTTTCCATTTTTTAAAAATGTATCGGAACTTTTTTCCAGTTTTTCGATTTTTAATTTTTTAATTTCTCAATATTTGATTTTACAATTTCTCGATATTTGATTTTTCAATTTTCCGATCTTTCACATTACAATTTTGACGATTCTATAATTTTTCGATTTTACAATTTTTCAATTCCATTCGATTTTAAGTTCTTGCTTTTTAGACTTTCAGTGTTTCAATTTTTCATTTCTTCAGTTTTTCTCGATGTGTAATTTTTCGATTTTCTACTGTTTCGATTTTGCAGTTTCTTGTTTTTTAGTTTTTCGATTTTTCAACTTTTCGAATCAAAAAAATGAAAAAATTGCAAAACTGTAAAACTAAAAATCAAAAACTGCAAAATCGAGAGATTCTAAAACTGAAATGACGAAAAACTGGAAAATCGAAAAGCCGAAAAGTTGAAAAACCGAGAAAAAGAAATTTGGAAAAAGTCAAAAACTGAAACATCGAGAAATCGAAACATCAAAAGATTGAGAAATCTAAAAATCGAAAAATCGGAAAACTAAGAAATCGAAATTGGCTAAAATCAAAAATCGAATTCGATTCTTCGAAACATCCAAACCTCGATAATCGAGAAATAAAAAAATTCAAAAAGCAAAAATCAACAATTTAAAATTTGATAAATTGAAACATCGAAGGACTGTATAACCGAAAAATTGAAAAATCGAGAAATCAAAACCAACAAAAAATTGAAAAATATATAGATAATTTAAAAACTGAAAAAATAAAAAATCGTGAAATCGAAAAATTGAAAAATCGAGAAATCGTAAAATCGGAATATCGAAAAACTGAAAAATCAAAAACCTCAAAATCGAAAAACGAAAGAAATGAAAAACTCAATCGAAATATTGAAAATTCGAGACAAAAGGGAAAATCAAAAAATGGAGAAATCGAGAAATCGAAAATTTGAAGAATCGAGAAATTGAAGAATTGAAAAATCCCAACACTGGAATATCGAAAAATTGAAAGTCGAGAAATTGAAAAACTGAAAAACCAAGAAATCGAAAATCCAAAAACTGAAAAATCGAGAGATTGAAAAATTTTAAAACTGAAATGACGAAAAATTGAAAATTCGAAAAACCGAGAAATCGAAATGTCGAAAAATTCAAAAATTGAAACATCGAGAAGTCACAACTAAGAAAAAATTGAAAAGTATATATGTAGATAATTTAAAAACTGAAAAAATAAAAAAATGCGAAATCGAAAAATTGAAAAATCGAGAAATCGTAAAATCGGAATATCGACAAACTGAAAAATCAAAAACCTCAAAATCGAAAAACGAAAGAAATGAAAAACTCAATCGAAATATTGAAAATTCGAGAAAAAAGGGAAAATCAAAAAATGGAGAAATCGAGAAATCGAAAATTTGAAGAATCGAGAAATTGAAGAATTGAAAAATCCCAACACTGGAATATCGAAAAAGTGAAAGTCGAGAAACTGAAAAACTGAAAAACCAAGAAATCGAAAATCCAAAATTTAAACAATCGCAGAAATTGAAATATCGGAAATTCAGAGAATCCAAAAACTGAAAAATCGAGAGATTGAAAAATTTTAAAACTGAAAATTCGAAAAACCGAGAAATCGAAATGTCGAAAAATTCAAAAATTGAAACATCGAGAAGTCACAACTAAGAAAAAATTGAGAAGTATATAGATAATTTAAAAACTGAAAAAATAAAAAATCGCGAAATCGAAAAATTGAAAAATCGAGAAATCGTAAAATCGGAATATCGAACTGAAAAATCAAAAACCTCAAAATCGAAAAACGAAAGAAATGAAAAACTCAATCGAAATATTGAAAATTTGAGAAAAAAGGGAAAATCAAAAAATGGAGAAATCGAGAAATCGAAAATTTGAAGAATCGAATATCGAATATCGAAATATGGAAAAATCCCAAAACCTAAATATCGAAAAATTGAAAAATGGAAGAAAAATTGAACAATTGAAAAACTGAAACATCGAAATATTGACAAATAAAAAAATTGAGAAACTTAAAAATTGAAAAGTTAGAAACATCATAACTTGTAAAACTGAAACGGCAGAAAATTGAGAAATCGAAAAATGAAAAAATCGAGAAAACGAAAATTTGAGTAGTCGAAACTGAAAATTGAAAAATTCAGAAATTGAAAAGTTTCAAAACTGAAAAAAATCAAAATATCGAAATATCCAAAAAGTGAGAAGTCAAAAAATCCAAAGATCGAAAAATCGAAACATCAAAAAATTTAAAAATTGGATAAATTGAAAAATCAAAGAACTGAAAAATTAAAGAATCGACAAATCGAAAAATATAAAATTTTACAAATTGAAAAATTAGAATACCGAAAAATTCAAAAATCGAGGAAGTGAAAAATATAAAATTTTACAAATTGAAAAATTAAAATATCGAAAAATTGAAAAAGTAAATCGTGAAATCGAAAAACTGAAAAATGGAAGAAAAATTGAGAAATCTAAAAATCGAAAATTGATAAATCGAAAAATTTAAGAATAGAGACCGAAAAACTTGGAAAGTCGAAAAACTGAGAAATCGAAATACCGAAAAATCCAAACACTGAAATATCGAAAATCAAAAGATCGAGAAATTGAAAAATCGAAAAATTGTTAAATCAAAAAATTGAAAAAATCGGGAAATAATCCAAAATTTAAACAACCGCAACAATTAAAAAATCGAAGGATGGAAAAATTTCAAAACTGAAATTGCGAAAAACTGGAAACGAAAAACCGAGAAATCGAAAAATTCAAAAAGTGTAACATCGAGAAATCAAAACATCAAAAAATGTCGAAATCGAGAGTCGAGAAGTTGAAAAAAAATCAAGAAATTCAACAATCAAACGTAACCTCAAAATCTCGATAAATCGACAAGTGGAACAATCGAAAAATCGAAATATTAAAAAAAAAGAAAAATTGAAAAACCGAAAAATCTAAAATCAAAAAGTCAAAAAATCGAAAAATCAAACCTTCAGTAAACTGCAAAACCCAAAATTTAAAAATTCGATAAATTGAAAAATTAAAATGTCGAAAAATAGAAAAACCAAGATGCTGAAAATTCTAAAATTTAAAAATCGAAAGAGTAAAAAATCGTGAAATCTAAAAATCGAAACGCTGAAGAACGAAATATTGAAAAATTCCAAAACCTAAATATCGAAAAATTGAAAAATGGAAGAAAAATTGAGAAAAAAAATTGAAAATTGAGAAACGTCAAAAATTGAAACAGAAAATTGAAAAATGAAGAAATCGAGAAAACGAAAATGTGAAGAATCGAAAAAATTTAAGAATATAAAGACTGAAAAATTCCAAAAGTCAAAAAACCGAGAAATAACGAAAAATCAAACACTGAAACATCGAAAAAACGAAAATCAAAAAAGATCGCGAAATTGAATAGACGAAAAATTGAAAAATGGAAAAATTTTAAAAATCGATAACCGGGATTTCAAGAAATTAAAACATCAAACTATGATAACATCGAAATACGAAAAATTTATAAATCAAAAAATTCAGAAATGAAAAAATTTAAAAATTTGAAAAATAGGAATATCAAAAAACTGAAAAATTCAAAATTTCCAGAAATCGATAATTGAAAAGCCAAAATGTAAACAATCGCAAAAACTGAAAAATCGGAGAATTGAAAAACTCAAAAATCGAGAGAATGAAAAATTCCAAAACTAAAATGACGCAAAATTGGGAAACCGAAAAATTAAAAAACTGAAAGATTGAGAAGTCGAAACATCAAAAGATCGAGAAATTAAAAAATCGAACAACTGAAAAATCAAAATCGTACAAAACCGAAAAACGGAAGTTATAAATTGAAAAATTTGAAATAAAAAAATATCGATACATCAAAAAACCGAGAATTTGAACAATCAAAAAATAGAAACGTCGAAATCTCGATAAATCGAGAAATAAAAAAATTGAAAAATTGAACTGAAAAACTAAAAAATGGAAACATATTGACAAATTGAGAAATCGAAAAATTAAAACAGCAGAAATTTGAGAAATCGAAAAGTGAAGAAATCGAGAAAAGGAAAATTTGAAGCATCGAAAAATTGAAAAATCGATAAATTGAAAATTTGAAATTCATCAAAAACGAAGTTACAAATTGAAAAATTTTAAATTAAAAAAAAAATAAAAAAATTGAAAAATCAAAAAATTGCGAAATCGACAAATCTAAAAATTGGAAAGTGGAAAAATTTTAAAAATCGGATAACCGAGATGTCAGGAAATTAAAACATCAAAAAATCATAAAATCGAAATATGAAAAATTCAATACATAAATCGAAAAATTCAGAAATGAAAAAAATATAAAATTTGAATATTTAATTGATAAATAGGAATATCAAAGAACTGAAAAAATGGAAAATTCCAGAAATCGATAAATTGAAAAGCTAAAATTAAAACAATCGCAAAAATTGAAAAATCGGAGAATTGAAAAACTAAAAATCAAAAATGAAAAACAAAAAAGTATTAAATGAAAACTTTGAAGAATCCAAAAATTGGAAGTCAAGAAGTTGAAAAATTGAATACGAAAAATTGTAAAATCGAAATATTGAAAATTAAAGACAAAGGAAAATCGGATAATTGAAAAATCCAAAAATTGAAAAGTTGAAAAATTGAGGAACTGAAAAATCTAAGATTGAATATTTGAAAAATTGAATAAAAAAAAAATTATAAAATCGAAAAAAAAACATTGGAAAAATAAAGGAAATGAAAAAACAATAAATAAAAAATTGAGGAACTTAAAAATCGAATATGCGAAAAATTTAAAAATTTGGAAAACAAGAAATTCGAATGAAATAACGAAAAATCGTGATATAAAATCAAGATAATGAAAATTAAAATATCGGGAAAATGAAAAATAAAAACCAAGAACCTGAAAAATTGCAGAAACGAAAAATTGAAATTTATTAATTTTTTTGAGCCACTCTGTATAAGTATGAGTCATGATACTTTGCATATTTCAGAGAGGCAAAATTTTACGATGACATTATCAATTTTTTGAAAGGGGATAAATGAATTTTTTTTCAAAAATCTAGTCGTCTACCTTCTTGATTAATGGCGCTACCTAGTGTTGGGTTAAAACAACAAGGTGCTACCCTTTGAGCAAAATTCATTAACTTGTCGCCAAGCTGCCGCACCCCGCAACAACCCACAAACTATTTACCCGGCGATCAAGGCGTCCCGGATCTCCTTCTGGTCGGTCCCCGCCAGCGTGTTCCTTCTCCGGCTCCTCGGCCTGCGCGCCCGCGTCCTCCTCTTCAGATTCGGGTCCTCCAACTTCGTGCTGACTTCGGTCTGCAGCAGGGACCTTCTCTGTACCGACATCCGATCGAAGCTCCGCCCTGAAACGTCCACCGCCACGATTTCAGCAGGAAACCTGAAACCGAGGTTGAGTTAGTGGTTGTGCGGTGGCGCTCGCTGGAAATGGGTCAAGAACAAAGAATTCCGAACGTACTTGAGCGCGACCACTTGAAGCTGCTCCTCGGGCGACGGCAGCTTATGGTCAATGCCTTCGTCGTCGGACACCGCCGTCCCGTCGGTGGCCTCTCCGTCCGTGAGGGTGAAGTTGGGGGCGATTCGGTTGGGGCAGTCGGGGGTGACGGTTATGTCGCCCAGGGCCTCGCTGGACGTCCATCGGCGCAGCTCCTTGACGGCGTCGGGCTGCAACAACGCAGATTTTTTATTTTTGAGTTTTAGAGTAGAGTTCAAAGTTGAAGAGGTGTTCGGCGAGGAATTTGATCACACCTTATACCTAGGTGGTTCCTACGCTGTCTGAGTTTCAAGTCTGTCTAGATTAGATTTAGATTTGTTGTCGCTTTGTAGACTCACAAACAAATCAATTACGGGCTTGTTTTAATAAAAAAGAAATCATTTTGGGAGGCGGCTGAGCGAGTTCAATAAAAGTTCGAATGGGCTGGCTTGGGCAGCTGAAGCAAAATAGGGAATCGTAGCTATTATGCAGATTTCTTTGGTTGTTTACAAAGGAAAGCGAAGAACATTTTCATGGCTTCGACGCTGCCATCATTTCTCATTTTAAAAGTTCCATCAGCCTTCGTTCAATACGTGTAGGTTCGACGGCAGTAAAGACCATTGTGTAATTTATGATTGTATTTTGACACCTTATGTAAGAAAAAGAAATATTGCGCTGTGGAGCTTTCATCACGAGCTGTTATTTTGCGTAATTCCAGTCAAGCCGATTGAAGTTTTTTTTTACAATAATAATAATACACTTCTTTATATATTTCCAACGGGAAAAGTCCAAATACAGGAAATATAATATTAAAATTACATGTATAGTATATCGCTAACTCGAGAAATTGAGAAACCCAAAAATTTAAAAAACTGAAAAATTGAAAAATCGAAATGTCGAAAATCGAAAAATTGCGAAATAAAAAAATGGAAAAATTTCAAAATTGAAATTACGAAAAATTGGGAAATTGAAAAATCGAAAAATCAAAATAAGGAAAAATTCAGAAAGTAAAAAAATAGGGAAATCGAAAAGTCAAGAAGTTGAAAAATTAAATATTGAGAAATTGAAATACGTCAAAATCGAAAAATCGAAAGGTTAAAAACTGAAAATTTTAAAATTACAAAAAATCCATAAATCGGGAAATAGAACAATTGAAAAATCTAAAAATTGAAAAACCCAAAAAATCTAAAACCGAGAACTCAAGATGATTCAAGATGTCGCTTAACCAGCAACACGGTGATAAAGTGTTCTGCTTTGTTTGTAACAATCCGGCTGTAAAAAAACGAATTTTTTGTGGTGACTGTGGCAAATGGTCACATGTAAGTTGCGGAAACAAGAAAAAGTGCTGTGATGAAAGTGTTAACATCCCAAATTCGGATGGTGAGGGAAATTTGGTTGACACCATCAATTCGCTATCAATGGCAGTTAAAGACATGAAAAACGTTATAGAGGAGTTGGTGAATGAAAATAAAAAGTTAAGGCAAGAAATAGAGGTCATGAAGGCCGAAAAACAACAAACAAACCATAGGGATCCAGTTGTTGAGGATTCTGTGGTGGAAGAAGCCGTGGAGCGCATGAAACGATCCACCAATGTCGTTATTCGAGGAATTCCAGAATGTCAAGGTACCATTGCCCAACAGAAAGAAACAGACGGACTAACGGTTAAAAACCTAATAAAATTAGTAATTCCTGATGATAGTGAATACAACATACTCAACATTGTCCGCCTAGGTAAAGCTAACTCTACTCGCTCTCGAATGATTAAGGTTATGTTTAACAATTCTAATACGGTTCAAAAATTAGTACGTCACCGATTTAACAATAATGTTTTCTTTAATTTGGACCTGACTCGAATTCAACAAGAAAAAGCTTACACAATTCGTAAAGAATTTAAACGACGTTGTGACAATGGAGAAAAAGGTATTCGTCTAAAATATAACAACGGACTGCCAAGAATTGTAGAGGAAAAAAACGAGTAAATTTTCAGCAGCCAATAATGTCATCTGTAAATTGTAATATTGTGTACCAAAACGTGCGGGGTTTAAACACAAAAATTAATGAATTTTATAAAAATTGTTGTAGTTTGGACATGGACATTGTTGTTTTAAGTGAAACTTGGTTAACATCGAATGTACTGTCAAGTGAGTTGTTTCCTGGATATTTTAATATTTTTCGCACTGATAGAAATACGGGTCGGGGTGGAGGAGTATTAATTGCTATAAAAAATCATTTCTCTGCAAAAGAACTTCATATTGATTCCCCCGTCCCATCTGTTGAACTTCTGGCCGTTAAAATTTCTGGAAATAACAATAACCTTACTATAGTAGCTATTTACATTCCACCCTCTTCTAGTATTGTTGAATATAATTTAATTTTTGAGTATATTGAAAACGTCATTGATTTCTCTTCTCCTGTGATGTTGTGTGGAGATTTTAATATACCAGAGTTAAATGAATGTCTCATTGGTACAGAAATATCGAATCGGTTTAACATCTATACGCACTTCGTAGCATTAAATAATTTAAATCAACACAACAAAGTAGTGAATTGCAACGAAAGAATTCTGGACCTAATTCTTGGAAGCGAATCTATGAAAATTGACGTGAGTAGATTTGAATATCCCCTGGTAAGCGAGGATAAACACCATCCTTCTCTAAACATTATCATTCATGGTGACAATTCATCAAACATTCCGTTTATAAATACTGGTGACTTCTCAACATTTAATTTCCGAAAAGGCAACTTAGAGGAATTGTACTTATCCGTCATGGAAATAGACTGGTCATTAATTACGAACGAACATGACCTTGAATCGGCCTGTGAAAATTTTTACAAAAAATTATTTGACACTATTGGAAAGTATGTACCAAGATGCACACACAAGATGCAAAGCTCAAATTATCCAATATGGTTCACGGGTTCTATAATTAAAAAAATTAAATTAAAAAACAAACACTGGAACACCTACAGAAAAACTAAATCATCGTATCATTTGGACATGGTAAAGAAACTAAGATGCGAAATTAGGCGGGAAATTCGTACGGAATATAGTAATTTTATTAGAATATCAGAAGATTCGCTACAACATGATCCTACAAAGTTTTGGATGTTCGTAAATCAGAAGAGAAGAATGACGAGTATTTCGGGCCGTATGGTTTACAATGACAATGTTTTAACAAGACAACAAGAAATTGTTGATGCCCTAGCTAGTCATTTTTCAACCACGTTCGTCGGTGATAAATCCAATCATGTCTGTGATAACCAGTGTAGCAATAATCTTGTAAATTTCTGTGAACACTGTGGCAAGTATTGTTGTCCTTCCTTGAAAATTGATACACCCTGTAATGGTGCAACAGTTTTGAACATGTTCTACATTAGTCATGAAGAGATTTTAAAAGCGGCCAAAAGAATGAAACCGAACAACGTATCTGGAGCGGATAATCTTCCCGCCTTTCTAATTGTCGACTGCATAAATTACCTGTTGCCGCCATTATGTCACATATTTAATTTAATTCTACAATCATGTGCATGTCCGAGTGCATGGAAAATCTCTCGTGTAGTTCCCATATTCAAGTCAGGTGATAAAGAAAATGTAAAAAATTACAGACCTATTGTTCTTATTTCAAATATCGCAAAATTATTTGAATGTATACTGTCTGATATTCTTTATTCACATGTTGCACCTAACATTGCGCCTGAACAGCATGGCTTCGTCAAGGGGCGATCAACAGTGACTAATTTGTTTGAATATACTCAATTTGTATCAGAAGCGTTAGACAATCGTTTGCAAGTGGATGCCATATACACTGACTTGAGTGCGGCATTTGACAAGGTGCATCATTGTATTTTATTAAAAAAACTGAAAAGTTTTGGTTTATGTGATAGTTTAATATTTGTTTTTAGATCTTTGTTAACAGGCAGACATCAATTTGTGAGTTATGGTGGATTTAAATCGAATAGGTATTGTGTTAACAGTGGTGTGGGACAAGGGTCAAACCTAGGACCACTCTTGTTTAATATATTTTATAATGATGTTGTGAAATATTTAAACTGTAAGACACTTATTTATGCAGATGATTTAAAAATGGCAAAGGTTATAACGAATTTTGAAGATTGCATTGAATTACAAAATAGTTTAGATCGTTTACTTAACTGGTGTGATGATAACTTGCTAACTGTTAATAAAACTAAGTGCAAAAAAATAACGTTTGCCAGAATACATAATCCAGTTAATTTTTATTATAACATTAGAGGATACGTTCTAGAAAACTGTAAAGAAGTATTAGACTTAGGTGTCATTATAGATAGTACGCTCTCTTTTCATTCACATGTTATACATATCGCAAAACATGCTATGAAACTATTAGGTTTTATTTATAGAAATACGAAAGACTTCTCTAATACTCGATGCATTAAATTATTATTTTATACATTGGTTAGAGCAAAATTAGAATATTGCTGTACAGTATGGAAACCTTACCATGTAACATATATAGATCTATTAGAGAATGTACTGAGAAAGTTTGCGAAGTATGTATATTTTAAGATGTTTGGTAGATATCCTGTCAGACACTGTGATCAAAGTAGTTTACTTGACATTGTTAGTGAAAATTCTCTACTTAGTAGGAGGAATATGTCATGTTTGATATTTTTACAAAAAATTGTAACGGGACAAATTTATAGTCAAACTCTTCTCAATGAAATTAAATTTAATGTACCCAGATTAGGCAACCGCATCCAGATAAGTTTTTCATATAACATTCCAAACACACTTCACCACTTCAATAGTCCTCTAATAGCTTGTATTCGTTTGTATAATTATATTATTAGCAGAGATCAAAATATTGACATTTTCTTTAATAATTTTTGTAACGTTGGGATTAGGAATAAGATACTGAAAATTGTAGTTGCTGTGTTGTAATGTTGTTGTATCCACTAGAGACATAATTGTCTGCTGGAAATAAATTTACTTATTATTATTATTATTATTATTATTATTATTATTATTATTAACTCAAAAAATATGAATAGTAAAAAATCTAAAAATTAAAAATTGAAAAATCGAAAAATGGGAAATTTAAAAAATCGGAAAATTGCGAATAATCGAAAAACCGAGAAATCGAAACACCAAAAAATTGGGAAATCGAAAAGTCGCGAAGTTTAAAAATCAAATATTAAGAAATTGAAATTG